CATCCTGTCGCACGGTATTTTCTTTATCGTTTTTTCAGAGTTAGAATTTGCCAGAGTGTATGACCTGAACTGAGCGTCCAGGATGGCTTGGAAGATGGTTATATCCCTGACTGACTTAGGCTATTTCAGTTTGCTGCATTCTTTTCTTATTCTTGGGTTTCTCCCAAGGAACTTAACTTTCTGCTTTCTCTTCCTCGTTTGGCCCAAGAAAACCTCTCCCTCCTTTCCTCAGATTCAGAGGAAGACCAAGCCTCAAAGGCAATTTCTCCACCTACGATTTGACTTTATTTGTGTGTAATAATCCGAGTGACTGAGTTACTAGTCATGGGCGTAGTGTATCTGCTTGTCTCCCGTTTACCTTTGCCTCTCAAATTAGGCTCTTAGCATTTGAGTCACTTCCACAGTCCAGATCTTCAGTTTCATGCTCGGTGGCCTGGTAAAGCCAAACTGCTTCTTGACAGGTAGTTGCTGGCGTAGAGTAGGCACTCAAATATTTGTTGAGCGAATGAGTGATGTTTACCATTTGCATGCCTCCTCTTCCCGGACACTTTTTGTTTTCTAGATTGATTTTTGCCTGGTTTTGTGTGTTCTAGTGTTTGGGGAAAACAGAAAAGAGCATCAGCCCCATGAGAAAGAACCTGCCCTATGGGCTAATGAAGGGGCTCCATTTTTGCACATTTAAGGTGAAGGACCAGTTGAATCGTCTCCTTTAAATCACGTGTTGACTTCTCAAAAGAGGGAAGATATTTTTCTTTATGGCCTTCCACCACCTGCTATTCTAACCTGTAGTTTTGTTTCTGATTTGCCGTCTTGAGCGCTGGTGCTGTGGCAAGAACATGGTTAAGGAAAAGCAACATCTCCTGGTTGAGGAGGTGGGAAGAGTCACCTTGTAGCCTGCCCACCTCTGCTTTGGCCCGTTTCCCCTTGGCTTCCCTCCTGCTCAGTACTTTTGTTTTCTAGTTTGTCTTCCATGGTCTGGTTGAGAGATACAAGCACTGGGTTAGAAACTGCAATATGTAAATGTATCAAACCAACACTTTGTCTGCCTTACACTTATGCAATATTATATGCCAATTATACCTCCATAAAAATAAATAATAAATAAAATTCCAATAACTACCTATTTCCCTTTTCTCTAAAACAGGGTATCGAAAGTGTGAACAGAAGATGACCTACATCAGTATCAGCTAGAATATTTATTTTAAAATGCAGATTCCTGGGGCATCTGGGTGGCTCAGTTGGTTAAGCATCCGACTCTTGATTTCAGCTGAGGTCATGATCTCATGGTTTGTGAGTTTGAGCACCACATTGGGCTCTGCTCTGTCAGCATGGAGCCTGATTGTGATTCTCTGTCTCCTCTCTCTCTGCCCCTCCCCCACTCATGTGTGTGAGCGTGCGCTCTCTCTCTCTCTCTCTCTCTCTCAAAAATAATTAAACTTTTAAAACTGCACATTTCCAAGTTCTCTGCTGATCATAGGTCTTAGGAAATGAGGGTCAGGGGTCTGCAGGTTTTTCTTTTTTTAATGTTTATCTAATTTTGGTTGAGAGACTGCAAGTGGGGGAGGGGCAGAGAGAGAGAGAAGAAGACAAAGAATCTGAAGCAGGCTCCATTCTCTCACCACAGAGCCCGATGTGGGGCTCATGAACTGTGAGATCATGACTTGAGCTGAAGTTAGACGCTTAACCAACTGAGCCAGTCAGGTGCCCAGTAGAACCCTAGGCATTTATATTACACTCTTACTTTTGAGACTCAGCTGCCCTTAACTATCAATGCATAAGGTCCAAATGGGAAAATTAAATAAAAGACAATTCCAAATGCTTATACCTCATTCACAAATCTTTCCTCTTTACCATAAAAAGGCTTTTAAAAATGTGATCACCACATAGAACTATGAACAGCGTTTAAAAATTAAGTGAAGGGCACTGATTAAATTGTTTGATGGCCATAACTACTGTTGAAAGACAAAGGTTTTTTTTTTTTAATTTCTTTGAAAAGCAATCATTTGAGAACTATTATTTTTGCTTTTCCTTTGTTCTCAATTTATATATCTTTTTATGTGGACATCTGTGCCACTTTCTTTCTCCCTCCCTCCCTTTCTTTCTCCTTCCCTCTTCTTTTCCATGACTCTACTTTCTATAGCAATGCCTACCTTATGATATCATCTTTAGAATTTAGGAGCATGATGTCATTAAACGAATGATTGTTGCAGTCAGAACTTCCCCTGAGACTTACCAGCTGGACGATAGTAGACAGATTGCTTAACATCCCTCAGTTCCTGTTGTCTCAACAGAGCACTTACCTTGTAGTACTGTTGGGAGATTTGAATGAGACTTATGTGTGTACAGTGCTTAACGGAGATCCTAGCAGGCATTACTCAACTGTTGGTTTTTGTGGTTATGAATTACAATGGCCACTTGGGAAAGGATGTGTTAAAGAGAAAAGTCAAGTCCTTAAGTTAGGAGACCTATGAATATTGTGATGGTTGTTAAGTTCTAAAGAGATAAAGTTGAGTCAGACTTGATGGCTGCCCTCAAGCTGTTGACAGTCTTGTAGGAAAAGATAAATGTGTAATTACATCCATGAAATGTAGTGTGTGCAATGCTGTAAGACGGTGAAGGATTCAGTGGAACCACTAAGGAGGGAGTGATCAATGTTTCCACGGCTTAGTCAGTTGCCTTGTTGTTAAGTGTATATATAGTGGGAAGAAATTTAAATAGTACCTTTGTTTCTTTCTATTTAAAATGGTACCCACATCATGCCCTGACTCAAGCAAGTCTTTATGTACAGTAGAAAAAGCTGTCACTTCCTGGGGCACCTGGGTGGCTCAGTTGGTTAAGTAAGCGTCTGACTTCGGCTCAGGTCATGATCTCATGGTTTGTGAGTTCGAGCCCCATGTTGGGCTCTGTGCTGAGAGAGCCTGAAGCCTGTGTCAGATTCTGTGTCTCCCTCTTTCACTGTTCCTCCCCTGCCTGTGCTCTGTCTCTCAAACATGAATAAACATTTTAAAAAGTTAAAAAAAAAAAAAAAGAAAAAGCTGTCACTTCCTTGAGACACCCACTTCCATCTGATTGAGTACTGCTATAATAAATACAGAAACATACATGGATTACTAATATAGGTGCTGTTCAGTGTGCAGCCTGTACAGCTATACAAGGCAACCCTATAACTACAATATTTATCTCACACTGACTGTCATTGTTTGGCAAAGAAAGTAATTAGGATAATTTTTTTCTGTTGTAGACTATGATCCTGAACCCATGACCTTGTCACCATCAGAGTCCTGGGGTGACGGTTATATTGCAGTTAGCTGGGTGAGATTGCTCTCATCATTTAGCAGTTGGACTGACATGTTGACTGAACATGTCCTAAAGTGGACAGAAGAATTCTGAGTAAAGCACCTAATAAACGATTCCTTCCCACAGGACTGTTGTGAAGGGCAGGGACATAATGTGTAAGAAGTATATAACCTGTGATGTTCTTCTGTTATGTAGTATCTTGTCTCAGACATTTTGAATATGTGATGGCAGATTCATTAAAAATAATCTGACAGAGCATACAGTAAAAACAAATTAGGAATTATGAATCACATCTTTGTATCCTTCTCCCTTGTGTTTGCTGTCTATAGTTGATACCCCAGATCCCTATGTGGAACTTTTCATCTCCTCAACCCCTGACAGCAGGAAGAGAACAAGACACTTCAATAATGACATAAACCCAGTGTGGAATGAGACCTTTGAATTTATTTTGGATCCTAATCAGGAAAATGTTTTGGAGGTCAGTGAATCATTTGTGGACTGTTCAATGGTCATAATTCATGTTGAAGTTGGTGCCTGAGCTTTGTCCCTTCTCTTCAGTTGGGTGTAGTTGGAGTCCAGCTGTGCAGCATGGCATACTAAGCTCCAGATGGTGCCCCCCAGGTGATGTGACACCACCCCCCCCCCCCCCCCCCACCCGGGTGATGGGAAGGTCCAGTGGAAAACACAAGAGTTAGGTAGGGCTGGGAAGAATCGTTTATCCTCCTTGAGTGCTTTGGAGAAAACGTTTTGTGTTATAAAGAGAAAGGTCCAAGTATAACAGAATAATCCTATTGTCAATTGATTGTGACTTTAAGGTAACTTAAGTCTTCTAACTTAAAATCATTAACTTTCAATGAAGTTAAAATAGATCATTTCCAAAATGGTTGCATGGGTTTTCTACATAATTTATTTCTCATACTCCAGAATAGCATTTCCCCTGAGAGGGGATAAAGTCCCATTTTTGAAAACATGATAATGAAGATGTCAATCAGGAAAATGAAAAAAAATTATTATTTTAGTAGCAAATGTGTCTGAAAGAAAAGACAAAGTATTATAACAAAGCTGAATGTTGAGGACCTCAAATGATTATTAAAGATCATTTGAAGACTTTCATTTATTGATTGTGGTGGAGATTTTAGATATAATTTCCAAAGATCCAAGAGAAATTGTGTTCTTGTGCTTTACCTTTTAATGTCTACAGGTCACATTAATGGATGCCAATTATGTCATGGATGAAACTCTAGGAACAGCAACATTCCCCATATCCTCTATCAGAGTGGGAGAGAAGAAAGAGGTTCCTTTTATTTTCAACCAAGTAAGCAACACAACAGGATTATTTTTCAACCCTATGTCAGATAAAAATCTCTTTATTCTGGAATTTTATTTCTTTGTTTGTTTGAATGTTTGTGTTTTAAAGAGGAAAATTTTGTTTTCCCTTCTACTTCTTATCCTAATCTTTTTATTGTTTTGATATTTATAGACTTTGGTTGAGGTATCACAGTAAATACTATTAAGACATTAATCTCTGTGGTTGCTCTCAGTGAGGCAATGACTTTGGATCCCACTGGCAGGTCTAACAAAACTTCTGGGAAGGTGAAGGAAGATATGAAATCTGAAAGGAATAGCAGAGAAGAGAGAATGAGGGAGTGAACTCAGAAAACTATTGGGACGTCCAAACTGTTCCAAAATTACATGCTTAGTAATAAATTAAGCCTCTGTGGAGCATCTGTCTCAAATAATCCTCAAACAATTAGGGCTGAAGCAATGAAAGGTCAACAGGAATAGTCTTGGGGTTTTTATTCTCTTTATAATGCTAGGCTTGCTGCGTTTCTGAAATTTCAATAATTTAGGAACACTAAAGCCTTAGAAAAATTATTACTACAGAGCAAACATTGGATTTTGAATTTTATAAGAAACTAATTTAATAGTTTACAGTGAGAAATGTAAACAACTGGTGGGCAAGTATGCAGAGACTGGTTAATGTATTAACTTCTTATTGGGAGAGGCTCTGTTTTTGCTCATTCTTGGAATGACTTCAAATTGCTGTCTTCACTCAAACCTGCCTATTCCTTAAGTCTCACCTCCCTAACCATTGCTATCCCAAGTGACCTCCTCCTTCTCTGAACTCCTAAGATAATTATCTGTGGTATTCATTGGGACTGAATCATTTAAATCATTCAGTTGCTCACCTCCCTCCCTCTCCCCGTACACTAAAATCCTATAGGTCAGGAATACTAGTTATGCATGTCTAATTACAGAGTTAATACATAGGGTATACTTATTGAATGCGGGTATATGGATTTAGAAACCAGCTCAAGCCCAAAGGGCCACCTGACCAGTTCATGCAATCAGAGCAGCCCAGGTGCCTGAGGACACTCTAGTTACGCACACTCTGCCGACTCCTTGAGCTGCTTATGGAAGCATGTCTTCTGTATGTCTTAATCCAGTGCCAAGAGATACACAGCCCACAGTTCTGTTGACTTTTTGAAGTTATTTCGTTCATCCCTCTTGCAAATGTTTATGGAAGTGTCCTGTGTACCAGCCACTGTGTTCTGTGCGAGGAATATAAGAAAGAACAAGACACAGGGGGCTTTTCCCTCAGTTGTCTTTCTGTGGGGTGGAGGTGAGGTAGGGGTGGAAATAGGAAGCAGGCTTAGGAGATGTGAATGTGATGAAATGAAACCACCATCCAGTGAGATAAGCATCAATGAGGAATGTGCAGAGTATGGTAGGAAGACAGAATAAAGACAGACTGTGTTGGGGGAGGAAGCCAGGGATGGCTGCGTATTAGTAGGTGATTTTGAATAGATTGAACAGTGAACGTAGTGATTTAATCCCTTGGCATTTGAAGCCAGGCTATTTGGTGTTTAAATGCCAGCTCTGTCCCTTACTATCTGTTTTATCCTGGTCAAATCACTTAGCTCTTCTGTGCCTCAATTTGCTCATCTATCAAATGGAGATAATATCTCATATGATTAGATGAGTTAATTTTATTTATATAGCTGTATAATATATAATGTATATTACATATACATGTATTTTAAATATATTTAGATATAATTATATATTTAATATAGATTTATATATAAATATAAATATTTATAGATTTATAGATTTATGTAGAT